AGAGAGAGAGAGAGAGAGAGAGAGAGAGAGAGAGAGAGATGAGAGATACAAGATTGGGTTCTTACCTGCTGCGCTGAAGATACCGCTACAGCGGGAGAGAGAGGGAGAGAGAGAGAGAGAGAGATGAGCGATCCAAGATTGGCTGTTACTTACCTGTGAAGCGAGTTGCACAGTCCGGCGGAGGAGGAAGTGAGCGGCCATAGCCGCGAAGTATCATCACAGGGTATCGAAGGAGAGAGACAGGGAGGACAGAGGAGGGACCGAAGGAGAGAGAAAGAGAAGTGCGGAAGGAGAGACACCGGAGAAGAAGACAGACATAGTCGAGGGGAAAAAAAAAAAAAAAAAAAAAAAAAAACAGAGAAAGTGAAGAAAGAGAAGAGTGAAGGAAGGGGAAGTAAGTGGCGAGGGTGACGAAGGTGAAGGTGCCGGCAGCCATAGCCGAGGTGAAGGGCTGACCGGGCGTTGACCAGAGCGTTGACCAAAGGGTTGACCAAGGGTTGACCAAGGGTTGACCAGAGGTTTGATCAGGCGTTGACCAAGGGTGTTGACCAAGCGTTGACTGGGGGTTGTCCGTGTTGACCAGGTGTTGACCAAGGCATTGACCGGAGCTGCTGACCAAGATTTTGACCAAGCTGGAGTTGGTGATATCTCGCTGAGCCCTTAGCCTATCCCCTTACCCTGTGGATGTGCACCTACCCCACGGTACTTGCTGAGTCTGTATGTCTACTCTTTTTGCATTGAGTCTCTTCTGTCCTAGGTGTTAGGACTCTGTGGATGAAGGATAGGGCCTTGCTGCCAAACCTGCACGGGACTTAGTAGGACGAATCTCTACTCTGGCATCTGGAGACCTGGGCATGAGCGACGAGCGCTTGTTAAACAACTCGTCTAGCCCAATGACCGGTACTGTCCGGCAGGTCTACTCAGTTTCAGTGTAGAGGGTCCGAACTCCGAGCTGTAGGCTGAAACGAAGGCCGTCTTTAARWGTTGAGGCCTGGTTGAACCACTCCCCTACCAGACCTAGTAAGGCTGATGATCTGTGTCTGACGACTCGACTGTCCCGAGGGATACGAACCCCTCCAAGGACCGGTACAGACCGACGGGCTGCTCGGTGTGGCACAGTAGTCCGGAACGGCTGAGTTGTGGGCTGAAATCGCCAGGAAGAACCACGCTGATCACGTCGTCCTGACTGCGACGTTAAAGAATTCTTGCGAAGTTTGGGGGATCTCCTTAAATGCCTCCTGATCAGCTGTTGGTTCAGTAGTGACAGCCTTAGAGTAGTTTTGAGTAGTGACCTTAGAGAGTCAGTCAGTAGGTCAGTGTCCGGGTAGGTCTAAGTGGTAAGGAGTGGGACTCTTGTCGTGCACCTGATACCACGATGGATGACTATCCGATGTATGGGCTGCTTGTGGGGTTCTCCCTCTGGGGGACCCTATGGCGTCTCCTCTTTCCTCTGGGCTTTTGGCCCACTTTCACATGTAGAGTAGGAACCCGGGGTGGCACTTCCACCCAACGTTACATGAAGGAGGAGGAGAAGATGGCCGCCATCCTGTAGGAGAGAAAGGAGAAGGAGGCCAAGAAGAAGGCCCTGCAGGAGGAGCAGGCGACAAAATTGAAGAAGATGGAGGAGGAAATGGCTAGAGAAAAAGAGAGGTTGAAGAAGGAGGAAGAGGATAAATTGAAAGAGATGGAAGAGGAAGAAGAAGATGAAACGCCACTGCAACGGAGGAGAGGGCAACACGGTGGCAGCAAAGATGAAGAGATGGAGAAACGGATTTCGGAGTGGGTCGCCAACTTATCCCTGGGCGAAGACGAAGAGGTAACCATGTATATCCCCAAGGATGAGCAGGAAGCCGCTATGAAGAAATGGGATGAAGAAGAAGATGTGCTGAAGCGGCAGGCGATGGAAGATGAAAGGAGGATGGTGTGGAAACTTGCAATGATGAGGGAGAAGAAAAGAAGAGTGGAGGCGGCAAGTGAGGCGGCTAAAGAGTTGGAGGAGGTGCAAAAACTAACTTTACGATTGACCCCCTAGGTAGACCTCCAACAAAAGGTGGATATCATTGCCCAGAGCGTCGAGCGTTTAGCGAGGGTACAAGAACAACAGTACGAGTTTAGCCGAAGTCAGGACATAGCTGTGCGTTCGATGCGGATGGGGTTCCGGGACTTTGCTCGCGAATTGGTAGGAGCTGTAGGAGCCGAGGTGAACCATCGCCTCGAGAAGACTGAGCGTTTTTGTGTTGGCGCCATTGAAGGCGTCAAGGTGGCAGCTCCCAAGGAGGGCGAGCCGCGTCCTCGTAGGGAGCTAGTCAAGGTTAAGTTCCCTGATTCCTACACTGGAAAGAGGGAAGAAAACTTTGACAATTGGGAGGCCAATGTCAAGACCTATGTGCAYCTGCAACAGGTCTCCTCGGATCAGCATGTCTTGATTGCCATCCATGCGCTCAGAGACGAAGCTGCCAGCTTTGCAAGGTCCCTAGTTCGCGCCGCCGACTGCAATGATGATGCAGTTACCTATTCGTCATTTACCTCCCTCGTCGAGTTCATGAAATTGCTGCGCGAGCGATTTGCTGATGTCGTTCGTAGTGTCAAGCCTCAGATAAACTCCAAACCATCCACTCCCGTAAGTGGAAGAGTGCCAGAGCCCTAAAGAGCACGATGGACGAATTAGTGGCTGTACCTGACCATGGGGTCACGGACACCCAGTTGGTCAGCCTCTTCTATCAGGCTATGCCCGAAGCCTTTCGAGGGCATTTCTTCGCAAAAAGCGAAGACCCTGCCACCACATATGATTCTCTTAGCCGCGAAGTGGTGGCCTTCGAGGCGAAGTCGGTGTCAGTTTCTACATTCTGGCACAGGGACTTAGACAAGGGGAAGCAATGGAAGGGTCGCACTATCTCAGGGCGAGTTAAGCCTAAGGATAGCCTTGTCCTGACCTTAGATGAAGGTAGTGTCGACGAGATCCCCTATGAACAGATTGAGTGGGGGTTAGAAGAGGAGGATAGCGGTGTGGGCCAGGGGAGAACTTACGCTGCTGTCGCGGCTGGAGGGAGGCCGCAAGGAGGAGGACGAGGCCAGGGCCAAGGGGGCCGGGCCTCAGGGAGCCGGTTCCAGGGCGATCAGGGGGTTGGCGGAAGAGGAGGAAACCGCCAAGCGGGAGGAAGGGGTTAAGGTCCCCCACAAAACCGTCCTAGGAACAGGTCCCCCTGTAGGGTAGGAGGATGGCACCCAGGGCTACCCCAGGGTAGGCCTTGGGAAAGTTTGGGTCTGCACCAGGACTTATGGCAAAAGCGATTGGACCGGGGCCAGTGCATTTTCTGCGGTGACCCGGGCCATATCATCAAATACTGTCCTTAGTATAGAGAGACCCTGACGGCTGCTCAAGGGCCAAAAGGCAGCCGCCGGTAGGGGTGGCAACTGCCCCTACCATTAGCCCATGTGGGGAACATAGCGCTAGCCGGCAAGAGACTCCCACACCACATGTGCCTATGGCAGAGGTTGCAATCCGGTGTCTAGATCGCTGTCAAGAGACTGCTTGTGTTAGAGTCTCTCTAGACACCTCCCTCACAGGCGTGGCTGATGAATTGAAGGAGAGGATGCCCGCCTGGGCCAAGATGAAGAAAGAGAATAAAGGGCAGCTTATATTACTAGATACAAAGATTTTTAGAGGTAGAATAGGGGCCCTAGTAGACTCAGGGGCCACCCACAGCTATATTAGTAAGAAAGCGCTGCAGAAATTGAAGCTCGGACTTAAAGTCCAGAAACTAACAGACCCCATAGTTAGTATCCTCGCGGACAATCGTACTATGGTTGTAGAGGATTACGTAGAGGGAGTCCAGACGTATTTCCGCCTAGAGAAAGATGGGAAAGTGGAGAAGGTTCTCCACTCCCTAACTCTCCTCGTAGAAGACAGCCTCCCATTTGATATTGTTCTGGGGATGGATTGGGGAGAGGCAGCCGGGGCCACGCTCCATTTGAAGGAGCATGAGTGTAGGCTCCCTAGTTCTTCAGGCGAGGCCAAGACTGCCCGCCTGTTCCATGTGTCAAGAGTAGAGAATCCCTTGGCACATTGCTGCCTTAGTGCTCCTGCGTTCGCCGGATTAGTGAAAAAGGAGAAATTGGAGGAACAGGTTTTTGTTGCCTATGTTAGGCCAGTGACTGAGCCTACGAAAGAAAAGTCGATGGACCCTGCGATTGCCAAGCTGCTGGAAGAGTTCAAGGACCTAACTGAGCCATCGATAGGAGTGGTACCGCGGCCCATCCAACACCCTATTGAGATAGAGCCTGGCAGTAGAACTCCTAAGGGCGTTGTGTATAGGATGTCCACACGGGAGTTAGAGGAGCTTCGCAGGCAATTAGACGAGCTCCTCGAGAAGGGTTGGATTAGGCCCAGTTCGTCTCCTTTTGAAGCGCCTCTTCTCTTTGTTCCCAAGAAAGAGGGAGAGCTGAGGATGTGCATAGACTATAGGGGTCTGAATGCTATTACAACGAAGAATGCTGAGCCACTGCCTAGGATAGACGATCTCTTAGATCGAGTGCAGGGGGCGAAGTACTTCTCCAAGATAGATTTGAAGTCCGGATATCATCAGATAGAAGTGCATCCTGATGATCAATATGAGACAGCCTTCCGGACTAAATATGGGCACTACGAGTTCATAGTGATGCCCTTTGGACTAACCAATGCGCCAACAGCGTTCCACCGTTGTATGAACGATCTGTTTAGGCCATGGTTAGATAGATTTGTTGTTGTCTATTTAGATGATATCTTAGTGTTTAGTAAGACCCTCCAAGAACACCAGGGTCATCTCAGGCAGGTCTTGGAGAAGCTGAGGGAAGCTAACTTCAAGATCAATGCAAAGAAGTGCGATTGGGCAAAGACCCAAGTGTTATACCTAGGCCACGTCTTAGACGGAGACGGCGTTAAACCAGAAGATTGTAAAATCGCAGCGATTAGAGATTGGCCCACGCCACGTACGCTGAGGAAAGAGACCATCTGGAAGTGGGACAAGGACTGCACGTCTGCCATGAAGAAGTTAAAGCAGGCGTTGATAGAGTATCCGGTCCTTAAGGTAGGTGATCCGTCCTTGCCCTTTGTCGTCACTACGGATGCTAGCCAGTACGGCATAGACGCCGTGTTACATCAAGACGATGGCAATGGTTATAGACCCGTAGAGTTCATGTCCGCCAGGATGCCTTCAGAGAAGGTCGCGACATCTACCTATGAGAGGGAACTCTACGCTCTCAGGCAAGCCTTAGAACACTGGAAGCACTACTTGCTTGGGAGGCACTTCAAAGTCTATTCCGATCATGAGACGTTAAGATGGTTAAAGACGCAGGCCAAGATGACACCTAAGCTTACTAGGTGGGCCGCAGAGATAGATCAGTACGACTTTGAGCTCAAGCCAGTCAAGGGGGAGTATAACGTAGTTGCGGATGCTCTGAGTAGGAGGGCTGATTACTTTGGGGCGATAGTGCACTACTTAGACATAGGGAAGGACCTGCACCAGAAGGTTAGAGAAGCCTATGCACAGGACCCTATCTATAGTGACCTCCTCAAGAAGGTCAAGGAGGCCCCAGAGACTGAGCCAAACTACCGCACTACGGAAGGGTTGCTTTTTGAGAAGACTAATGTATTTGACCGCCTGTGCATTCCCAATAGTGAAGAGATCCGTAGTCTAATTTTGGGAGGATGCCACGACGCAGAGGGTCATTTTGGTTGGCAGAAGACTTTGGCCAATCTGATGCGCGCATATACTTGGTCGGGAATGAAGAATGACTGTGTAGAGTATGTTCGCAGTTGCAAAGTCTGCCAGCGTAACAAGACTTCTACGCGTGCCCCGTTAGGTCTTCTCAGACCCTTGCCCATTCCGGATCAGCCGGGAGACTCAGTGTCCATAGACTTCATGGACACTCAGGTCAAGAGCAGGCATGGCAAGAGCCAAGTCATGGTCATAGTTGACCGTTTTAGTAAATACGCAGTTTTTGTTCCTTTGCCTTCAAAGGCACGTACTGATTTAGTCATACAGAGGTTTTTTGACTGTTGGGTGAGTGAGAATGGAATCCCATTATCTATAGTTAGCGATAGAGATAGTCGCTTCACCAGCCAGAACTGGCAAGAACTCATGGGAGTGTAAGGATCTAAGTTGTTGATGTCGTCCGGCCGCCATCCTGAGACTAACGGTCAGACAGAGCAGATGAACAAGATCCTACAGCAAGTTCTGTGCATGTACATTAGGCCAGATCAGATTAACTGGGATGAGATGCTGCCTAAAGTAGCTAGTGCGTACAATAACACCGTGCATCTGTCTACCTGCGGCACTCCCAACGAATTGCATAAGTCCTGTAGACCGCGCAGACCGTTTGAGGGACTTAACCGGGACCAGATTCACAGATTACCGCCCGGGACCAGGGAGTTTGCTGTACAGCACGAAAAAGAACTAGCTACTGTTGCAGAGAACCTCAGGAAGGCCCAGCACAGGATGATAGAACAAGCCAACAAACATCGTCGCCCCTCACAGTTCCAAGTAGGCGACTTAGTCTGGGTCAGTTCTAAAGAGTTTGCACCTGAGGAGAACATCTCGCAAAAGTTACTGCCCACCTGTAGAGGCCCGTGGCCAGTCTTAGAAGTCAAGGGCGGCGAAGATGGACCGTCCTATACCATAGAACTCCCAGCACACCTCCACACTTACCCAGTTTCCATGCATCGAAGTTGCTACCTTGTCAAACAAGTGATCAGTTTCCATCCCGTAGGTCGATGATCCCACCGGATATGGATGGAAGATATGACATTGATGGTATAGTGGCTGAAGATGTCTTCAGGACCGGAGGTAGGGGTCGTCCACAGAAACAGTACAAGGTTCATTTTAGTTATCAAGAACCGGAAGACGACCGCTGGTTTACGAGATCTGAACTTCTAGAGACAGCTCCCGATATAGTCCGGGCCTACGAGAGACAACAGAGAGGTAAAGGCCCTGCCTTGGACTGAAATTTTCTCGGAGGACCTCGAATTTAGGACGGCGGGAGTGAAACGGTATTCACCAGTTCGCAGTAGCTGATGCAGATCCCAGGGCTCGATCCCTAGTTCCCCAACTTACCTGTGTACAGTACCAGTGTCAACCCGTAGATTTGAACCTGCGACCTGTAGGACCGCCAGTGGTAGGTAGGATTTCGTAGGTTACAGGGTCGAAGAGATTCGAACTGTAGACCTGTCGGGTAGGAGTCTAGACAGTCTAGAGGTCGTAGCTGTAGACTGTCCGAAG